GGGGCCCTTACGAGGCCGGCGCCCTCGCGCTCCCGCACTCCCTCCGCCCCTTCCCGCGCCAGCCGCTCTCCTCGCTCCCTCCCCCGGCGCCTCCCCCGCCGGGCTCCCTCCCGACTCGGCCCCCAGCCAGTCTAGAGCGAGGCTCGGCCCCTTCCAGCCCTGGTCCTGCGGGAGCTCCGCGTCCTCACCTCCGCCCTCGCCGTCGCCACAGCCCCAGGGCTCCCCGGTCCCCCACCTGTAGGCGAGCAGGTGGCCTGGGTCCGGAGCAGGGGAGGTGAGAAGTGGGCCAGGCCCGGAGACCCTAGCCTTCCTTGTCCCCTGTGTTCATCCATAGTTGGATTTCTTTCTTCACTTAATAGATATTTATCGATTTACTGTGTGCCAGGCGTGTTCTAGGCACGGGGGATATAGCAGTGAACAGCACGGATGTGGAGCTTACATGCATGTAATAAGTAAAACAGGAAATGTTTATAGAGGTAAATGGTATGGAGGAAAATAAAGCAGAAGGGGATAGACAGTGAGGTGGAGGCTTTGAACAGGGAGGTCAGGGGAGGCCTCGGTGAGAAAGTGGCATCTGAGCAAAGGCAGGAAGTGAGGGAGTGAGCTCCGCAGACGCCTGCGGGAACAGCTTCCAAGTGAGGGACAACTCGCAAACACCCCAAGGGGGCGCTGACCAGCGGGTTCTGGGGCTGAGTGAATGGCAGGAATTAGGGTCAGAGACAAGGAAAGGGGCAGATTCCCACCTCATTCAAGCAGCAGATTGGGCGGAGCTGCCGGTTCCAGCTGGTGTCGGGCTGCTGGGATGAATCTACCTGATTCCGGAGAACCAGGGCTGGAAGAAGACTTGAGGAGCCCCAGCATCCAGGTTTCAGGAGGCTCAGGTGGAGCTGGCCTTTTCTATCCTTGCGGGCTTGCGGTCTGCTTGTTCTTCATGTATTTCCGAGCCCTGTTATTAGGTGCACCTGCCATTCGGATCATGCCTTCTTGATGAATTGACTCTTTTATCGTTGTGAAGTGACCCTCTGTCCCTGGCAGTACTTGTTGGGGAGTCTCGTTAACTGGATCTAAGAGAAGCCAACAGCACCCACAGCCGCTGGTTTATTTGTAGCCCACACAGCTGTTTGACACCCGGCACACCAAAAACTCAGCAGCTCCTCCTGTCCTGTGTCCTTCTGCTCCACAAATTCCCTACTCACCTGGCCCTCCCCTCCTTTTTCTACACCTCACCCTCCTGGTTTACCAGTAGATAATTGGCCTGGAGCCTTCATCTCTCTCAATCGCTCTCTTTTTTGGGAGCCTGTGATCAATGGTCATTAATAATGCAAAAGTTCTTTTTGTCTTAGTGCAAATCCCAGGCAGATCAATCACTAGCAAATAGACAGCCGTTATTGGCAGCCACACCTTGGCCTTCTCCACTCTACTCAGGCCCTGGGCTCTCTTCCCAAATAGGAACTAAGAAAGATTGAGCCATGCCGAATGGAGGTACTGCTGCTGATGCCCCAAGACGAACAGTCCTGGAAGAGGAAGGGATCCTGTCTACACAGCTCAAGCATTTGCAGCTGCTGCCAGGGTCCCAGCCTGAGATCTTGCAGTATGGAAATCCACACGGCAGAGTAAATACAGACGCGCCCTGGGTATGCGTCCTCGCTGAAAGGTCCTGACAGCACCAGAAGCTGCCCTGACTGGGCATGAGAAACAGAAGGGACGAGGGAGAAGGCAAACCTTGAGTGGCGGCGTCGCAGTGGGCTCTGAGGAAGCTTGGATCATTTAACAGCGAAACTAGTTCAAGATGGTAAATGCCACTGGAAAGTTGGTGTAAGGAAGAAAGCTGGGTCTGCTAGAGAGGGTTTCACTTCAGCCTCTCAGCCCTCGCCATGGGCCCGTGGGTGTGTTAAGCACAGTCCTTGCTCTCAGGAAGCTCATGGTCCAGGGGATAAAACCCACATGCAGGTAAGCACAGCACAGTATGGGGGAAGAGACCGAGTAGTATGGGCTTAAGGGGCTCAGAGGAGGCCATGCCCCACAGTGTGGGGGGTGGTGGTGGACAAGGGCAACCCCCGCACTGAACCTTAAAGGGTGAGTTGGAGGCATCTGAGCAAAGAAGTAGGGAAGCGGAGAAGTTGCCTGAGAGAGGGTACAGCATGTGCAAAGGCAAAGAAGCTAAAGAGAGAATTTGGTTTGTAGATATTTCCAAAACCAGGGGTGAGCCGGGGCGGAGTTGTCGAGATGAGGCTGGAAGGCCACCAAGGGGCCAGCTCATGAAGAGCTCTGAATGCCAGGAAGGATCCTGGGCTTTATTCTGAGAGCCATGGGAGCCAGGGGTGGGCTTTGAGTAAGGGAGTGGCATGGTTGAACAGGGCGGGTTGGCAGTCTCTGGTGCCCTGAACTCTGACACCCACATGAGCACCATCGACAGTTGCATCACAATCTCCATGTCTGCCACACAATCAAAACACCTTGGGGCAAGTCAGCTTCCTGCCCTGTCCAGATCCTCCTCCATGCTTCACCAGAGCAGCCTTCCTAAACCATGCGGATCCCCCGCCCAAACATCTCTAGCCCCTCCCCGCTCCCTCCTGAATTGGTCTCAACTCCCTTATCTTGGCATTCCAGGCTCTTCCCAGTCTGTTCCCACTTTGTATGTCCTGCCTGGCTCATGCTTTTCCTTCCACTTAAAAAGTTCTTCCCCTCATATCCGTTGGTCAGGATCCTCCCCGTTTCTAGAATCTTTTATACCTCCTTAGTATGACTCATCCCTCATGGTCCAACTCCGAAATCCCCTTCTTTGTGGGCTCCCTCCCACTCTTCCTGAATGGAAGTGGTGGTTCTCTCCTTGGAGGTCCGATGATAGAGGCGGGTTCAAAGTGTTGACGCAGCGATCAGGCTGAGTTTGAATCCGATTTCTCAGTAGCTGTGCAACCAGGGACACGTTATCTAAGTAAGATCCTCATTTGGCTTATGTGTAAAATGATCACAATAATAGTATTTACTTCATAAGGCTATGATGAGGGCCAACTTAGAATCGTGCATCTAAAGTACATAGCTCAGTGCCTGGCACAGGGTAAGCCCTCCATGAGTGTTTCCTGTTACTATATTTATAGTTGGCATGCCACACCTTTCACAGTTATTTTGTGTCCATCTCCCGCAGCATTATGAGTTTGAGAACGGTAGGGGTTATTTATCTATTCACCTAGATATGCCCCATGCCTCATACTGGGTCTGGCACATGGCAGGCATTCAACCAAGGTTGGATGGATGGGTGGATAAATTAATCAAAGAAGCAGCTACCCAGCCATTCCCGCTCCCCTGCCGTCCCCTCTGCTTGGGAGGTGGGAACCAGGTTTTCCCTTTTCTGAACAGGGTTGAATGAATCATGTGTCAGGGGACTAGTGTGTGGAGCAAGCTTTGTCATCAGACAGTCTGTGGTTTGCAGTTTCTTCAGAGGAGAGCTGTCTAGACAGAGGAGACATCTGCACTGGGGAGGAGCATCGACTGCATGGGAATCAGAGTCCAGGAGAGGGCTTTTCAGGGAACCCAAAGGCCAGCCTTCTCCCTGTTTTCTTCCTTCCTCACCACTAAGGACCTGCCCCCAGCAGTAGAAATTAGTTCTCAGCTTCGATCTGGGGACAACAAAGAGAGGTACAGCATGGCTCCTCAGCAGCTGGTGACAAGAGTGAAGGATGGAAAATCTATCAAGGAAAGGAACCAGTATTTATCAAGCAGTTTTTATGTGCTAAGCACTATGCTTAGCGCTTAACGTGCATTATCCTGTCTGTAACCCTGTGAGGCAAGTACTATTGTGTATTGCCACTAGATGAAGAAACAGACACACAAGTTAAGTGACTTTGCAAGGGCAGTAATAGGATGGGACCTCAGTTACATCGAATTCCCCAAGCCTGTGCTTCTCCTCATGAATTGCATATCTAGTCAACAAATATTTTGAGCCCTTCTCTTTGTACAGTGCCCTGGTAAGTGATGCAGGGCCAACAAGGATCATTAAGATGTGATTTCTACTCTCAAAGAGTTTATAACCTGACAGAGGTGAAGCCTTACTTAGCTTAGTATTCCCAGCCCAGGGCCTGGCAATACAGTGAGTGTTGAATAAAGCACAGATTGTCAGGGCTGAAAGGGTCTTTGGAATTCAAGTATACCAATCCCGTTTATTTACAGTTGGGGAAACTGATACCTAGAAGGAGGAACTAACTGGACAGTATGATTAGGGGCTTGGGCTCTGGGGCCAGACTGCTTGGTTTGAATCTCAGCTCTATGGCATTTAACAGATTTGTGACTTTGGGTTTAACCTCTCTGAGCCTAAGTTTCTTTGAAAAAGAAAAAAAAAGATGAATTTGTGAGAATTAAATAAAATCATCCATGAGTGGAGCTTAGCAAAGCATTTAACATGGAATCCCACAACACAGTGTGCTCCGTTTACGATTAACCAGTCACACAGTGAGTTAGTAACAGCTCCGGACCTGACCCTGGGCTTCCTGACTCGAAATCCAGTGCTCCTTCCAGCTCTCCCTGATTCCATGTGTCCGTTAGAGTGTGGTCAGGGGGGAATGGGAGTCACCTAGGGAGAGGAGGCACATGTGATCAGGTGTCTGCTGTCCTTGGAGACAAATGCTCACATGGTCCGTGAGCCCCTATCTCTGTGCCTCCTACCACCTCCTACTCTTTGCCTTTGAAACCTCCCCTACCTCCTCCCCGCCCTCCCCGCAAACTGGAACACACATTGAAACTGCTGATAACATCCCCACATCTCCCTTGGTTGGCAATTTCCTCTGGGCCAGATGGG